GCGTTATGCTTTATGCAAAAGTCTGTGCTCCGGCCATAAGCCTTTGTATCTTTTTTTTGTCCACAGTCTCATAATCAAAATACACGTAAACACAGAGTTTGAGCAGCTAGGGGCTATAAACCTATATGGGTTTCTCGGTACCAGCGTTTGTGGCGCTTTCACTGAGTGACAGAGCCAGGATTGGAACTAAGTGGTGCCCAAGATCTATAGAGAGAAGGTTACCTCATGCGCAAAGAGGGACGAGCGGCAAGAGGGGCAAATGCAGAGAGGGGCGAGCGGCAAGAGGGGCAATGATGATCTCATCGGCGACAGAAGCTATCTCAGACAGCTACTGTTTGTCGATGAGATCATCATGCTCTCCCCTTTCTTCATCGCCCCTCGCCATTAAGCTGTTTCTAGCTCCCCCCTTACTTCATCGTCCCTCGCCCTCAACCGGTTTTACTGAGGTAACCTTCTCTCTATAGATCTTGCTCTAGACTAACTTCACAGTGAGTATTATTTTGTTAACAACAATTAAATGAACAACCAACAAATGTCAAGATTAGGCTAACAATAACAAATAAACGACTAACAATTAGCTGCAATTGTTAAACATTGGACAAATTAATTTTGGTTGGCTATCTTCACGTAGGTCTCACATTGCTAATAGGTCTGTTCTTTATAGCTGAACTGGCTGCACTAGTTCAGAGTTTATCTTTCTTCTTTCAATATGGAGGGAAAAAGATAAACTCTGAACTAGTGCAGCCAGTTCAGCTATAAGGAACAGACCTCATTGCAGGATGCTTGCATCACTGTTCAGGGCACATACAGTCCATCTTTAACTATACTTTGTTAATGATTCAGCGATAGTGTTATATGAAAATAAGAGGTTAGTGAAATCTGTCAAATGCAATCAAATTTCGATTATATTTATTAACAGTTACATAATTAACTAACTTATTTTATTAATTTAATATATATTTAATAAGTTTTACTTTTACCTGGAAAGAAAAGCATTTATTGACATATATAGCTCAGTTACAGATTACTTGAAGTTGCAAGGATGAAAATTTCAACATTTAATAAAAATGATTCTGTATTGTTGGTTGGAGAAGGCAATTTCTCATTTTCTGTAACATTATTGCAACATGATTTAAATATTAAACTTATTGCTACCTGCTACGAACGTAGCGTGAGTCAAGATGCGCAAAGAAATATAGAATATCTTCAAAACAATGGTTAGTAAATTATCAAGCACAAATTTATATACGAGTGTTTCATAATGTCCGTGCCAACGCTCGTGTGCGGTTAGAGTGTGGTAAACTGAATAGAAAAGTCCTTTATGTTTTGCAATTTTCGCAATAATAATTGAAATATTAATTAAAAAGTAACGAAACATAACAACACGTATTACTTCTGCTCTCGCCATGCGTTGTTATTTTTCGTTGTCGTCACGCTTAGAATGTACAGTCTATGGTCTATACGCGCAACGCGTGATTATTCGTCAATCCTTTTTAATTAATATCTCAATTATTGCGAAAATTGCAAAACGGATAAAGGACTTTTCTATTCAGTTTATCGCACTCTACCCGCACACGAGCGTTGGCATGGACATTATAAAACACCCTGTATATATGGTTATATATTTACAATATTAATACAACCAAATATTTGCTTTTCTTTTCAGGTATTTGTGTATTGCTTGATGTGGATGCTACAAAATTGGAAGAACATTCTTTATTAAAATCTAAATTGTTTGACAAAATCATTTTTAACTTTCCTCACGTTGGTGGTAAAATGAGAATAGAGAAAAATAGGAACTTGCTAAGAAACTTTTTCATTTCATCTGAAAGAATGATCAAAGAAAATGGTCAGATATTGGTGACATTATGCAATGGTCAAGGTGGAACACCTATGGATAAGCCTGAAAGGCATTGGAATGATTCCTGGAAAATTGTAGAAATGGCTGCACATGGAAATTTCATATTGACGAGAGTAGAACCCTTTTTATGGCAATCTTTCCAAAATTATATTGTAACAGGTTATCGTAGTTTAGAAAAACAATTTTATATTGCAGGCTCATTAGTACATTTTTTTACAAAGAGAAAGCCGCCTACAATACACAATATTACACCTAGTTGCAAAATAAATGTCTCTCAATACGATACAGATAATATTACATGGAAAGAAGTAACAAAGAATATTCAGAATACAGCAGATTACAATGTCAAGTGTATTTATCCATGTGCTTTTACATTTGATCTAACTTTTTCTACTTACACAAATTTTAATACAGCTGAATTTTATCAATTGTTGTATAATTATGCAGGATCTATTATTAATAATGTTGATTTCATCGATTGCTATTTGTCTCCTGACAAAAAGATAAAGAGGACATACAGAATAAATTATAAATCAAATTATATACCATTATATAGAAAAAGAGTCATTGAGTTACATCAAAATGCAATCACAAATTTTGTAGAAGACAAATTTGGCGTCATCGTCTCAAGATAAATCGAATGCTAATAAAAGACGACCATTTTACAGTAAAAAGTGAATATTTTGTTAAAATGGTACACACATAAAGTAATTTATTTTATTATTAACACGAGATATGAGGTCTACATCTTTTCTATTACTTTCAGATGCATTGTCTTCGTCATTTGAAAACCATTGTTGCCAGAAATCCAATTCAAAATCAAGGCTGTGAAATAGTATTGCATAAAAACACATGTAAAGTTTTAAATAGAAACATACTTAGGGCTTTGTCTGTCACTGCATGTGTTCACAAGAAGGAGTCCACAGCTAAAGCTCTGTCTAGTATAAAACCGAAATCAAAACATGATACTGTGCAACATTTCGTCGATATAAAACAGGTAAGAACATTATTTTACTGAACGATTTATCCATCTATGAATATGTAATTACTTTTTATGAGTTACATATTTTATTATGTAATTATATGTATACGTATTATTTTCCACTAGGTAAGAACAATCGGTGGAAACGGCGGAAATGGACTGGTATCGTTCTTACGATTGTGGGTTAATGATCGGGCCGGTCCCGACGGAGGCGATGGTGGAAATGGTGGTCACGTAATATTCGAGGTACGATTATTGCGATTAAAAATGAAATAAAATAAAAGTAACGAAATACAAAGTTGAAATAATATAAGTTATATGTTTATAACGATTGTACTCACTATGGATGTAACATATAGCTTTACAATGCAGGTGAAAACAGACGTAAAAGATCTTAACCATGTAGAGTCTGTAATTAGAGCTGAAAATGGAGAGAAAGGTTATAACAAGGATTGCTTCGGTAAAAATGCGGAGCATAATGTGGTTTATGTGCCTGTTGGCACGATCGTGCGTGATACGGATGGTAGGATATTAGGCGACCTGGATAAACCCGGAATGATGTTTATCGCCGCGAGAGGTGGTGCCGGTGGGCACGGAAATGCCTATTTCAAATCGAATGCCCAACAGTCACCTGAAATATGCGAATATGGTGCAACCGGAGAAAATTTAGAATATGTGTTGGAAGTAAGAAGCATGGCCCATATAGGATTAGTGAGTATATATTTTTCCGTCACCCTGTAATTATGTTATTTCATTATTAGTGTATTTCACATTAATTTTCACAAGAATATATTTACTGTATTATGTTACAAAACACATCTTTTATCGCATAAAATGTCCTTAAATTTCTTGTCACCAATAGATTGGTCTACCAAATGCTGGTAAAAGTACACTTTTAAGGGCAATATCCAGAGCCAGGCCAAAGATAGCGGCGTATCCTTTTACTACTTTAAAACCTCATATAGGCATGATACAGTACGATGATTATGAACAAGTAGCAGGTAATTTATATTATATATATTAGCACAGTAAAGAAAAGAGAGAGGTATATAAAACTTCTTACCTTTTTTTTCACTTTATTACTGTTTATTTTTTAGTGGCTGATATGCCCGGTCTCATAGAAGATTCGCATAAAAATAAAGGACTTGGCATAACTTTCCTCAAACATGCTGAACGTTGCGCCGCTTTAATATTTATCATAGATATTACAATGGACGAGCCATGGGTGGCTTTACAAACTTTAAAATATGAGATAAGTCAGTTTAATGAAAAACTAAACGATAGGCCTCATATCATTGTAGCCAACAAGATGGATTTATCAAATGCCGAGGTGAGTTGGGATTTAAATCTGAATTTTAATCTTAATTATATGTATATTGAAACATAATTAATTCGAATAGAGAACAAGTGTGTCAATTGTAATGAAAATCTTGAATAGTTATAATAATGATTGTAATTTGTATTGTAGGTTAATTTACAATTATTCAAGGACCGTGTACATCTGCCGATAATACCCATCTCCGCTAAAAAGGGCAGTAACATTTCCACTTTATTGAAGGAAATTAGAATATTGTATGATAATCTTAAAGTTGACGTATCAGAAAAAGACACCGAAATTTTTGTATAACACAATAAAGTATTCCAGTAAAAATGTATACAAAATTATAATGTTCTTATCGCGTTAACATTACGCAGCTTTTGTACAAAATGTAAAATTCTTAACTACACATTTTACTTGCGGCTGATTCAAGATCGTTGAAAACCACCTGTTTAAGCTCGTGTATGGCTTTCTAAGATGTGGATCAAACACGTGTTCGTATAAAGGCATCAATGCGGTGAAGACGAATATGTCCGCAAGAGTAATCCTTTCTCCTATCAAATATGTTTTTGTACATAGTATGTCGTCCAACTTTTTCAGAGCTCCTAGAAGATCCTCTTTAGAAGCCTTTGCATTTGCTTTCATATCTTTGAAGGCGGAAATGCCGAGCGATGAAAGCACCCAGCCACTGACCGCCGGTAAAATGTGGTTTTGCGCGTAACTAGTCCATTGTAAAATTTGACTGGACGCTAGCAAGTCATCTTCACGCCGTAGCTGCGAATTTGATAAGAAAAATGCAATGGCGTTGCTGTTATGCAACGTAACGTCTGCCGTTTCTAACATTACATCGCCAGAATTAATTTTGCCACTTTTAACTTGCTTTAAAGTCAAACTTTTGCCACTATATTGCGCGACTATTTGTGCCAAATAACATTTAGTGCTCCCAATATTTGCATAAAGCACCAATTTTGATGAAGATCCCACATTAAGTGATTGAATGTCATTTTCTGAAGTTTTAGGACTATTGTTAGCAGTACTATTGTCTGAAAGCAGACATAATTTTTGATAGCTATTGTGATTAGTATTTAAGATAAAAAAAAATTCCAGATTTATAAACTAAACTTACTATTAACAATTCTACAGTACAAATTATGGTAAAAAATTATTTCGACATTTACCTGTGATCCCAAGTTTTTCATTGGCAAACTCACTGGCCTTTCTCACTATTTCATTAACGCATGCTATATTAGTACCGGAAGCTTGTGCAGATTCCGCTTTTCCGCCTCCTTTGCCGCACATCACAAGTGCAATCGCTTGAATCCATTCGTTCGCCTTCAGTCCTTTGGATACTGCAGACTGGAAATAATTTAATGTTACACGATTGTTGTTATTGTTATCGCAACGCGTTTTAGGATAAATAATCTCACCTTGGGAACAGAACTGAGAGCGAATATCTTTTTGACATCGCGATCGACGCTTATAAGCAAGGCGCTAGTTTCCGGCGACACAGCTCTAATTTTCTTCAACGCCGTGTCCAGAGCTTTCGTATTACTGTAGGCTTCCAGCACCTCAACCAATACTTGGCATCCGAGTTTGGACTCTATTATGGACTGTGCCGTTTCCACAACCGTATTAGCGATAGCCGCTTTGGCCGCTCGTTCCTTATCGTCGAGAGACTTCTTCAATTCTTTCAACATGTTCCGCATACAATCCTGCATATAAAAAGACTAATTATTTATCGATATATCAATTGAAATTAATACTTTGTTAAATGTAATTGCCTTTCTCCATCCAGGAATGATGGCATGCGATATGTCTTCCGTTAATTCCACGATATTTTTCACGTATTCCTTAGACTTTTTTCCAGACTTGTCGGCTTCAATCGTCGCCTGAAGTTGGATCAGTTGATTTTGCAACAACGTCGCCTTCTTAAGAGCCTTGGTTGCTTCGGGTCCGCTGAGCGCTACTATGCGCCTGATACCTTTAGCGATAGCTTCCTCGCTAGCTATTATAAAATCACCTATATGGCCGGTGTAGTGCAAATGCCTGCGGAAAGCAAATTGTGAATTTAAAAAGGTGATTAGAAAAAGCATGATTAGAAAACATGTGTCAATATAGAACGACATTTACGTTCCACCGCAAAATTCTACGCTAGTTTCAAGAGCAGCTGCGCTTAAGGGATCCTTTTCTAAATCTTCAACTGGTATGCCCATGCTAACAACGCGCACTGGATCGGGATACGTCTCTTCGAACATTGCGCGTAAACCTTGAATGGTTTTCGCCAAAGCTAGATTACTCTCTTTAGCATAAATTGTCTTATTTCTCTTTATTATGTCGTTGGTGATATTTTCCGTGTTTTTCACCTGCTCCGTTGTCATCGGTCCTGTTGCGAAAATAATTTGCGTGACATGGTTCGTGCTTGCATTTCTTTCCTACGCACCTTTGTTCGTGAAATCAAAGCGGAGTCTGTCTGGCGCAACCAATGATCCTTTCTGATCGGCTTCTGTTCCCAGAACTTTCCTGAGTGCATGATTCAGGGCGTGTGTAGCACTATGATTGGCCATTATAAACCGTCTACGTGCTGTATCCACATTTGTGTGGACTTTATCTCCTTTTCTCAATGTGCCTTCACCCACAGTGCCAATGTGCAACACATAGCCGGCTCTGACTTGAACGTTCTTTATGCGAATCTCTGTGGCCTTTTAAAGCAATACGCTGTTTAATAAATCTTGCTTTTTATTACGGGAATTAAAAATGAAAAACAAAAGAATTTATGTACCTCGTCATCAACTTTCACCAGAAATCCCTCATCATATATCTGTCCTCCTTGTTCCGCGTAAAAATTTGTTCTGTCCAGTAAAATTCCAACTTCATCACCGGAAGATACTGCATCGACGAAAGTCTTGGCGCGTCTTAGTGCAATTACAGTACCAGTGCACGCTCCAAACTCATATTCCTTATACATAACAGAATTTCTGACTTTGTAATCATATTTCAGAGAATCATCCGTAGGCTTAACGCCTTGCTCTTGCAATTCAGTGATGGCATGGATATCCAAGTTAATTTGATCATCTATTCCGCCGGCTTTACTTTGAGAAATTAACTGCAATATCGAGGAAAATTCTTTGTGTGTCAAGAATACAAACGTACAAAAGCATCTATATCGAATTAACGGAATAATTGCTATGTAGTCAAATATACCTGTGCTTGTTTTTTGGACTCTTCATAACCCATCATATCGATTTTCAATCCTTTTTCTTCAGTCATTAGCTGAGTGAGATCTATTGGGAAACCGTAAGTATCATACAAGCGCCACGCTACATCACCCGGCACAGTATCGGCTGACTCCAACTTTGCTATTGTTCTATTCAACAAGTTACGACCGCGCGACAAAGTTTTCAAAAATTGCGCTTCTTCCTCGTTCACAATGTCAATTATACTTTGCGGATCTTTTGTTACTTCTGGAAAAACTTCACCTAGAACAACAAAAAAGTAACTTTAGAAATAATGCGCATAGTAAATTGTGCCAAAATTTTTATTAGGATAAAAATATTTACCAAGAAGATCCACAACTACATTTATTAGAGATCCAAAAAATCCTGGCTTAGCATTTAACTTCTCTGTTGCGTAGCGCACAGCACGGCGTAAAATTCTTCTCAAGACATATCTATATGTCGAGACAAAAATGTATTACATTTTAAAAGACATGGAAAAGATAAAATAAAGTTTTTAATAATCTTGCTTACCCCCTGCCGGTGTTATCAGGCATTCCTCCATCTGCCAAAGCAATTGTAATAGTTCGAGCATGATCGGCCAGAACTCTGTATGCCATATCTATTCCGTTAACGTCGTCGGCTCCTACTTTGCCCTGATAGGGCGGTGCACCTGTGCCTTTTTTAATCGCAACAAATAAAGGCATGAATAGATCAGTGTCATAGTTGGCACGTTTATTTTGAATTACTGATACCAATCGCTCTAAACCCAAACCACAATCTATATGTTTCTTCGGTAATGATTTAAGACTGCCATCCAACTCTCTGAAATATTAGGAGATTATAAAGATTTATAAAATTTAAAATTATTAAATAAATCTTAAATATTAAATTAAATAAATTGTCTTATAAATCCTGTATGTTATTCTACAAATTGAATACCTATTATATTGAATAAATACGAGATTCCAGATTTCTAAGACATCAGGATCATCCATGTTGACAAGGTGAGCTGCTTCTCTACCACCAATACGATCGTAATGAAGTTCACTACACGGTCCGCAAGGTCCAGTTTCACCCATTTCCCAAAAATTATCTTTCATGCTGCCTGGTAAAACGTGTGAGGCAGGTACTCTGTAGATTTATATCATAAGCTTAAAATTTTAAATTAAAAAAACATTAAAATACTTTTAAAATACTAAAATTAATAAAAAAGAATAACTTATTAACAAACTTATTATAAAGTTTAAGATAGTATACAAGATGTTCCACATCGAATGCATTGTATGGTAATGGCACATTTTTGAGATTATTTTGAGATGAAAATTCTAATACAAAAATATCTATAATTTTTGAATAAAAGCATTTAAAGTTGATCAGTCAAATCACTCTAAATCGCACATCGCAGTTCAGGCATGGCACATTGCACAGTATTGAAGATATCTTCAGATATCAATCTGTTTTTTATTGTACATAAAATTATATCTATTTAAAAACAAATCGATATCTGATGTACCTTCATTGCTATGCGATGTACCATGTCTGAGCGTGCAAATTTGGACCAACTTGATTGTGATCAACTTTAAATATTTCCTATTTAAAACTATTATAGCCTTGACATTTTGGTGTTGGGATTTTCATTTTAAAGTGAACTCAGGAATGTGCCATTACTATATAATGTGTTCGATGCGGGACCCCCTGTATGTCAATAAACATTTTAGAAAAAATTTATTATATTCTGAAATAATTAAAAAGTACCCTAAAGAAAGCCATATTTCCTTGCATTCATCATCTGGTGCTAATCCATTCTTTTCATCACCTCCAAAATATGTCACATACAATCTGTCAGCTGGTAATTTCAATACGTCTGTCAAAAATTCCCAAGCCCAAGTACATATTTCTTTCTAAAAAATATAGTCCTCTAGATGTCATGTATGAAAAAATATAAAAAATAATTATCAATTTTGTGAAGATTACCTTGAAATAATCTCCAAAGGACCAATTACCCATCATCTCAAAAAATGTATGATGATAAACATCTTTGCCAACATCATCCAGATCATTATGCTTACCGCCAGCTCTAATACACTTTTGACTATTAACTACACGTACCCATTTTGCCATATCACTATTAGGATCAACTGTTCCTAAGAATATCGGCTTAAACTGAAATATACATTTACAATAGAAAATAATCATACAAAATATTATTTATATCATACAAAATATTATTACAAAATAAAGCATTCAATATAAAAATTAAAATTATATTGATACCTGATTCATTCCAGCATTTGTAAAAAGTAAAGTTGGGTCATCATGAGGTATAGTTGAACTTGAATGCACATACTGATGACCTTTACTTTTGAAAAAGTCGATATAAGCTTGCCGTATTTGTTTTGCATTCATACTGGTTAACATTTTGATATCCTAGAGCTCTCTAACTGCTGTAATGTTACAACAATATTATGTATACAAATGTAAATATCAAATATATTGCAACATAATTTACCATATGGCCTCAGGTTGCATCAGACATTCAAAAGAGAGACACAGAATAATAAATTCACGTCGAACGAATAAAAGATACTTCTTTCTTTATACGTCACAGAATTACATTTTACAATCTCTAATACTATATCAGAATTGCACAAATAAAAAAAAAAGAGGCTAATGACAGTTTGATATAAAACTTACTCTCAAGCAAAATATTGAAATACAAACACAGTTGGTCCACGCGACTAATAACGATACATACATAAGAAGAGAAAGGTAAAACGGGAGAACCCAGAGCACATGCACACTTTCTAGCCACTCAATCATTGAATAAAAATACCAAGAAGCAGTGATGCAAACTCGAGCCGACCAGCACCAAGGCTCCGTGGTAGGGGAAGCATGCACACAAGCGAGAATCGCTTACGCACACGTACGTGTGCGGTAACGTAATATATATATATATACAAAAATTTTTTATAATTTATTGCAGCGCTCGGAATTAGTGCACATTTCGAGCCGATTCAGGAGACGACGCCTCCTGTTCCCCCACTACCGCCCGGCCGCTGGCGGCCGAGCCGCCGATAGCTCTAACGCAAAAGCGTTTTATACAAGAAATAGACTGGGTTGTTGAGGCACCTCTCAGAAAATAGTAATATTTTCTTTGCTACATAAATAAT